TAGAGCTATAAACTTAGTTTTGATTGTGAATCTAGTTATAACTATTTGCTTGAGGATTTCTATAACATAACTTCTCCCCCCAATGTAAAACATATTCACTTGTGCCGTAGATATCTTTAATATTAAATAACCAACTAGCATCGGTCTATTCTTCTAAGACAATAGGATAATCAATGGAAAATTTAATTCATTCTTTAATACCTATTTTCATTTGCTTTGGTAATATGTTCATTATCTTCGCAAGGCACCCACACATTTTCAAGTATTTATTGAATGATTTTCGACCTTTCTATAATTCATATTGTGTTTTATCTTTTTCCTTTCAGCAAAACCTTATTTAAAAGGTAATTAGTTGACATAACAACTTCTCTCTCCCACATGTTCTGCGATAACCCAACTTCCAAGTGTTACGTTATTATTTCTTTTCGAGTCCATATTTTTTTCGACTACTCCATTTGATCAAGGAAAGTATACTGGTTTCACTTCATTAATAATATCATGTTGTGCACAATGATTTAACATATTCATTATCACTATCACTTATTACCATCTTAATATATTTATTAAGTTGATCTCCAACTTTATGTTTATAGAAAATAAATTTCTCTATAACTTCATTTTTACTCTTTTCAAAAATATATAGCAATACTTTTGCTATCATTAATGGAGATAATAAAATATGTATTCTCTCTCGTCTGTGCCATTATTATAGATTTTAAGAACTTGACCACTAAAATTTCTTTAGTATCAGTATCTTCCGTTTCATATTTATGATCCAGTGTCATCCATAATTCTTTTATCCATCTTATGGATACTATACACTTTATATAGTGCATTTGACAATCCATTCGGGATGTAGTTCTAGTATAAGAAGTCAAAATAATCTCAAACTTAAAAAATAATAAATATGGTAATAACGTTTACTTCATTCTCTCTAATAATAGGAGGATCATTTGATACTTGGCCAAATTCAATATGACCGAATATAACATCTCATGTTGTTAAATCTTAAAATTCTATTCACAGGATTTTACAACCTTCTCATTGTGACTCATGACCACTAACAATCGTGATTTTGCTTAACACACAAAATTAGAATTAATAATAATTCCAATAATAAACGAAAAATAAATTATGATTTATTCTACCAACAAAATTTAGTTAGAAAGTAAATCGATAAAAAAGTTATTACTTTCAAACAATTTCTATTATAAATAGTAATCAAATAAATTCTGTTAAAATCCCAATTGATTTTAAACAAGAAATAATAAATTCCTATAAATAGAAAACTAATTCTCATTTATTCTTGATTTTGTTATCGAATATAATCAACGTTTTGAAATAAATTTCGTAATCAATGTTACTTTCACGGCAAATTTTGTTAAACAAATTTGTCCACTTTGAGATTTAGCAAACCCGTTAATATAGTAGGATAAATCTTGAAACAAATTTATTTGCTATCTCACTTTTATCACAATTTTCTAATCATCTCGGATTAAAGAAAGGTAGAAAATAGAATTAACTTTGTCTTAAGATTGTTAGAAAAAGTCGTTAATCCAAAAATAATATAGAAAAATAATGATAAGAGTATTCAAATATCATTATAAATATTAATGATACATAACGAATTTACTCTATCTTAGGATTGTTAGAAGTATAACAATCCGAGACCATAATCATACCTGAGACAATAAAGCAAATGAAATTAAACTTATTAAATAATAATAAAAATTAGTATAGAAAGAAATACTCTATTTGATAGATCAATCGATCGTAAATAGTTGAGGTCTTTCGGTACACAGTTTCCTTAAGACAAATATTTTGTAACTCCTTGGTGCTCGAGATATTTTTTAATCTGTCTCCCAAGATACAACAACTAGATGATCAATAAACAATAACACAAACTTTCGAGATCACTAACCATTTCTTGCGTTTGCCTATCACCAGAAAACTAGAGAACGAGAGAAAATATTTTTCAAGATTTTAAAGTTCTTGAATTATGAGATTTCAAAACTTGTATTTAACCTAGCAGGTTAACTCAATATTTATAGGGAATTTCCAAGATATTTACTCAAAACAGATATATTTTAATATTCATAATTATACAGGTAATAATATCTTTTAATTTGAAATATTTAAAAGATTTAGATATCTTTTAATTTACATAGATATTATTTTAATTTAAAATATTCAAAAATATACCATTTGAAATCAATGAATTTATTAATCATATTGTTTTGAATGAATGTTTTATTTTGAATTCACTGTGTTTTTTTTTTTTTTCTGATTGTTTGTTGTGGTATCTCCGGTTCTATTTATGACTGAGTCAAATAAGGATAATAATACATCAAAGAAAAAAAAAGGTTAAACTACATGTTTAGTAGCTAATGTATCACTTTTATTTTGTTTTGACCACCCAACTATTTTTGTTTCAAAATCATACCTAAAGTTGTGTTTTGGTTTCATTTTGATCACTAACTGTTAAAAGATTAACAATGATGCTGACGTGTCATCATAAGATAATGCATCATCATCAATGATTTTTTAAATATCACATTAGCAATTCAATTAATTTTTTAACGACAGATTACCAATGAAACCAAAACGTAACATTATGTATATTTAAAAAAAATAATTCAGTGACCGAAATGACACAAAACAATAGTTGAAGTACTAACAAGTAGTTTACCCTAAAAGATTGTTGCTCTAATGGGGATTGGTGTCATGATGAAGATACCTTACGATATAAGGATGTCGCTTACTTTTTTTAAATTTGAAGAATTATATAAAATATAACCGAATAGCTACTCTTCCACGTAAATATAGAAAAGTTCTATAAATACACCAACACATGAGTTCTTTGTCTCACACCAATACATCTCCTTTCGTAGTGTTTCCAGCAGAATTAATAGCTAAACAAAGGTCTTATTCAAAGCTTTCTTCTTCAACTCATGGATCCTTCTCCAACCTCAATCGTCCCTTAGCCAACTTTCCCCCTAAGGATTGGGGTGATATTTTCTTATGTCCATCTAAAATGGTTAAGTGTTCCAATAATTCGCTCCTCTTTATCATAATTCCATTTAGTAGAGTGTTATAACCATGTCAAATAAAGTCTATGATTGTGCAGAACGTGGATGGTGAAACTCAACTACAGCACGAAGAATGGAAAGAAGTAAGGAGGATGATTAAGGTACCAGACGTCGATGAACTGCACAAACTGCGTTTGATTGATACAATCAAACGGTTGGGAGTGAGTTACCATTTCGAAATAGAAATAGAAGAAGCACTGAACAATGTTTATGAGCATCACTACCAATATCACCAAACTCTCGAGTCTACTTCTCTTCGATTTCGATTGCTTAGAGAGAGTGGATTTAGTGCTTCCTCTGGTGAGTCTTGCACCTTCTACTTTGCACATGAATATTGGATTGAACAGAAACGTTCAACAAGTTCAAAGATGATGAAGGAAACTTCAGCAAGTCCTTAACAAGTGACGTGAAGTGTTTGCTCGAACTATACGAAGCTGCACATTTGCTTGTTCATGGGGAACACATACTCGAAGAAGCCCTTGTGTTCACCACTACTCATCTACAGTTAGCCAAAGCTGCTGGCAATTTGGAGTGTCCTCTTTCAGCCTTTGTCTCCAATGCTTTATACCAACCCCTCCGGAAGACACTACATATATCAAGTTCAGGGAGTAAATGATTAAACCCATATGCAATTGTTTATTATTTTGTTGGTTTTCAATTTACAGTTTAAGCAGTTGAGTGATAGTTATTTTGCTGAGGCCAAATCGTACCATGAAAACTATGTACCAACGATGGAAGAATTTATGAGGGTCGGAATTACATCTGCTGCAACTACTGCAATAAATGTCACTTCTCTTGTTGGTATGGGGTCAGCTAATTTTTGAATTGCCCGTCCAGCTCAGTTGATAGAGCGCAAGGCTCTTAACCTTGTGGTCGTGAGATTGAGTCTCACGGAAGCTGCTCTCAACCTGACGTTGGGGGCAACCTACTATCCTACCTCCCCTTATCCCATTACATATGGGAATAGGGTCATCTAATTTTTCTCTTATTGGAATGGGAAACGTAGTTACACGAGATTTTCGATTGGTCGTCTAATGATCCTAAACTTTTAATATTCCAATTTCATCTTCAATTTTCTAATATTCCAATTTTTTAAATGTCCTCGAATTATAACTCTTATTCTAAATTGATTCTTAATTTTTTTAATATTCCAATTTCATCTTTAAACTATGACTCTTATTCTAAATTAGTCCTTAAACTTTTAAACATTCAGATCCCTAAACTATTAACCTATTTCTAAATTAGTCTCTAAACTTTTGAATATTCCAATTTAATCCCCAAATTCATCCAAATTTATAATTGGTTTCAACCATAATTCAACCTATTTTTTAACATATAATAATATAAATTGGCCTAACAATTTTATTAACAAGAGATGTGATCAGTATATACGTGTAGTTGGGGATGAAATTGAAATGTTCAAAATTTTGAGGATCAATTTATAATGAAGGTCATAATTTAGGGATGAAATTGAAATGTTCAACAATTTAAGGACTAATTTAGAATAATAGTCATAATTTAAGGATAAAATCAAAATATTTACAAGTTTAAAGACCAATTTAAAATAAAGATCATACTTTAAGGACATGTGACGACGCAATTAATTCTATATAAAATTAACCATTTGAATTGACTACATATTTGTAGGTGGGATATCAACTGTATAGATCAACATTCCGACTACATGAAAGTGTGGTATAAAGAAGTCTTGAATGATTATAAAGATATGCAATATTTAATGCAAATAAGGAAAAACATATCGTGTCCATTTCATGATAGATGCGGTATATTTTTACTCACATGGTATATGACCTCAAGATTTTTATGGTTATAATACTATTACTCGAATATGAGATCTGAAAAGAAACAATAATTTTTTAACCACTGAAATCACTTAACGAGTGACAAATAATATCTTAGACATGATAGGACACTAAAAGCAACACGATAACGCATAGATTCCCGATCAGATAGATATTAATTTCCTTGAGCTGAGACTGAGATTGGATCAATGAGCAAAGAATTGATCCCATCTTTTGTAGTTTTTCCAACGTGTGTGTACCCATCTCCAGCCTTATACATGAACTCACATGCCCTTGCAAGATTGAGAACTCGTGTAAGAACCGACATCGAAACAACCTTAGATGTATCACTAAATATCATCTCATAGTTTATATCTTTCCATGCATCTTCCACTTGCTTCTTCAGTTCACTGTGTGCTTCTTCTTCTGAAACTCCATGTTCTCTCATGTAGCATTCAACAGCCGACGGAATGTGCTCTCTCTCTTGTTCAAACTACACACAACATATATATAACTTGATTGAAAATGCTCTTACAAATTTTCTTTTACATAAAAAAGGTACCTTGTGTGAAACAATATCGTCTGAGAGGCGGCCATGAATGCAACAAGCAACAATGATTTTAGGGTTGTTCGATGCCCAATTGAGAATCTCAGGTGGAACAACATCTCCCATTCCAACAAGAGATGTGACACTTAATACAGTAATGGCAGCAGATATAATTGCGACCCTCATATACTCTTCCATCGTTGGTACGTAGTTTTCATGGTACCATTTGACCTCCGCAAAATAACTTTCACTCAATTGCTTAAACTGTAAAATGAAAATCAACAAAAGTAGTTCATATTTTAAGCTGAGTTGGGCATGGAGAAAGAGGATGTGTTTAGTTAACTTGTCCAAAAAAAAAAGTAGCTGACCCTATTCCTATATGTAATGAGATAAGGGGAGGTAGGGTAGTAGGCTGCCCCCAACGCCAGGTTGAGAGCAACTTCCGTGGAAGACCTCTGTTATGAATTGTCCTCAGTAGGACTCGATCCCACGACCACAAGATTAAGAGCCTTGAGCTCTACCAATTGAGAAAGAAGTTCTTAATTTTAGTTTCTATGTAAAATTACAAAAATGAGACGTGTATATTTACTTTATTTATAGAATATTGGACACAATGTGATTGTTCTTGCTTTGTCATTGCCTCCTCCGCTTCTCCATAGACATCTAACAATGGCTTGTAGAATAGTTTCATGTAATCTGGAAGTTGATCTATACATTTAACGTCCCACCTAAAAAGTAATTAAAGTTTTAAGAGAAAATGTGTTAGAAATATTAAAATTAAAATTTAAATATATATTGAATAATGTCTCATAAAAATAACTAAATAACTCAAAATACAATTATTATAATTTGTACATATACATATATTCTTGTGTGAACATATAAGTTTCTGACCTCTGAATTGCATCCGCATAGAGTTGAAGTTCTTCCAATGTGCCATATGAATCGTATATGTCATCCATAACTGATACCATAGTTGCTACTTTTGTTAATATCTCTCTACCAAAAGAGTAATCAGGCTCAAAGTACACTCCTAACATCCAAAAGTATAACTCTACTAATCTATCTCGTGCGAACGGTAGTTTTGTAGCAAAATCTAAATCTTTCCACCACCTGAAACAAAACACATAATTACGAGTTATTTTTCCAATTGAATTGGATTGAACTTGAATATGAATTAGTGTTGAAAGAAGTAATGTGTTGCCTAGAGAGCTTGCATAGCTCTTCCTTGTGTAAATTTTGTAACAGGTTGAAATCCAACTCTGCAAACTTCAGCAATGTTTTGTCGTGTGAAGCATCGTCTTTATAAATGGCAAAGTATCGCCTAGCCTCCAACCTTGGCAGGGTCTTGCGGATGGGTTGGTAAAGAGCATTGGAGACTAAGGCTGAAAGAGGATACTCCACAGTGCAATCAGCTTTGACTAACTCTAGATGAGTAGTGGTGAATGCAAGGGCTTCTTCGAGTATGTGTTCCCCATGAACAAGTAAATGTGCAGCTTCGTATAGTTCGAGCAAACCCTTTACGTCACTTGTTAAGGACTTGCTGAAGTTTCCTTCATCATCTTTGAACTTGTTGAATGTTTCTGTTCAATCCAATATTCAGTGTAAGCATTTCAGAAAGTATTTGAAATAGAAGGTGCAAGACTGACCACAGGGAGCATTAAAGCCACTCTCTCTAAGCAATCGAAATCGAAGAGAAACAGCCTCGAGAGTTTGGTCATATTGGTAGGGATGGTCATAAACATTGAGCAATGCTTCCTCTATCTCTCTTTCGAAATGGTAACTCACTCCCAACCGTTTGATTGTATCAATCAAACGCAATTTGGGCAGCAACTCATCATCCACGTCTACCTTAATCATCGTCCTTACTTCTTCTTTCAATTCTTCGTGCTGTAGTTGAGTTTCACCATCAACGTTCTGCACAATTGTGGAAAGTATTAGAGGAGCTAATTATTAAAACACTTTTAGAGCTGTAGATGCGCAAACACACATATATACTACATAAATTCCTTACCATTTTAGATGGACATAAGAAAATATCACCCCAAAGTTTAGGGTGAAAGTTGGCTAAGGGACGATTGTGGGTGGAGATGGATCCATGAGTTGAAGAAGGAAGCTTTGATGAAGACATTTCTTTAGCTTGTAATTATGTTGGAAACACTATGAAATGACTTGAATCGGTGTGGGTCATAGAGCTCATGTGTTGATGTATTTATAGAACTTTTCTATATTTACGTAGAAGAGGGGCTATTCGGTTTTTTTTTTAAATTCTTTTAGGGTGGGTGATGAGCAATCATAAAAAATATATGTTTAGCTTAATAATTTCATATAAAAAAGACATATATGTTTATTCTTTTGTATATATCCTTGCCCTGTCGGAACTCACTGATAGTGCTATAAAATCACAACAAAAACAACAAAACTCAATTCTTATATGTAATGAGGTAAGGAGGAGGTAGGGTAGTAGGTTGTCCCCAACGTCAGGTTGAGAGTACCTTCCGTGGAAGACTTCCGGTAGTCAGAAAATTAAAAATATAGATAAAATATAAAGCATGTATAAATAAATACATAAATACATAGTTGAACAATATTCATATGCAGTCATAAATATCATTAATATTATATGCGCGTTTGAAATGGGAAGTAATCCCTGCAAATAAATTCCTGCGAAAAAATCTCTGCATATAGACATAAACGTAAGACCCGACTAAATTTAAAAGTGAAGAGAATATTACACAGAAGTCTACGATAGCAAGCCCAGTTCTAAGCCTACATAAATATCAATAACAGAAACGTATAAAAAATATAATTCATGAAAATTACTACAAAGGCATTAAAAGAAGACAGAGATGATACACCCTAGAGATGTGACCCACACTACTCGACTACCCTAGTCTTTAGTCTTCATACTTTCCTATCAGAGGTCATGTCCTCGGTAAGGGCTAAATCCATCAAATCAGATCTCAAGCAGTCTTCCCACTTCTGCCTTGGTCGTCCTCTCCTTCTGGCAACGTCGACTGTAATCGACTCTACCCTCCTGACCGCATCCGACGGTAGTCGCCTAAGGACATGCCCAAACCACCGTACCCTCAATTTTTCAGAAACATGCACCACCTCCAAGGACATCCTAATAGTAGAGTTTGTTGTCATATCCCACAGAGTCCTACCGCATGTCCATCGAAGCATTCCCATTTCTGCAGCCTCTATCTTCCTTACATGATCCTTCTTGGTTGCCCAACATTCTGATCCATACAACAACGTTGGTCTTATTGTCATTCTAACAATTTAAATTATATAAAATTTACTATATTTATATCATTAACGTAATATATTTGTTATATTGTATCATAATTCGTATTATTAACGAGACTAAATAAATTTAAATAGTTACAGACGGTTCATATTTTATAATTTAAAAAATCAATATTTTTAAAAAATTTAGATTCGAATCGGGTCGAATTTTATATTAAAATATTTTAAATTAGGCCGGAATCGAGTTTAGGGTTAAAATAATCCATTCCCCTTTCAGCACTTTTGTTTTTACAACCAAAGTCATAAAAAGCGTGATGGCCCAAGTTCCAAGCATAGTGTAACCTGCACTATTCAGCACGTTTACAGGACATATGGATGTTAATTATTGTAAAAATAAATAAAGTATGATTAGTAGTAGTATTGTAAGCACTATTGATGGGATTAAGCCAATAAGGGGTCAACTATTAAATTTATTTATTGAAAAAAAAGTTTATTGATGCATTATTAAGCACTGTACAGGGGCAGCACGCGCACGCCCGCACCAAACCTGGGTGGCACATAGTGGACGTGGTTTACAATTATTAAATTAAGTATTTTTTTTATATTTTAAATTAAAAAATGTGTGGGTTTTAATGAATAAAAAATTAAATCGAGTCGGATCGAATTTTTTAAACTCTCTATCGGATCTGATCGGGTGAAAAACTAATTTTATCAGGTCGAGTCGGGTCACAGGTGGAGGTCATCTTCTTCTCGGGTCGGGTCGGGTGAACCAGAAATCCGATCTAACCCGACCTATGCCCGTCCCTACGTACAAGGTGTCGTGACCATCACCATCGGGATAATTCGGTTCAGTTTGTCATTCTTGTTCGTCTGGTGTCATCGCCTTTTTCATCGTCGACGTCGTTAGCAATTCGGGACTAAATACCAACAAAAGGATATGTCCATTGGTACAGAAATTCACATTAAATAATATAATTTATTAGAGTGAAATATATTAAAAGTTGAGTGTGTACAGAAAGATACAGACAGTTGAATTAAGTGGACCTGAATTCAAATCTGGGCATGATTTTTTTTAAAAATATATCAAATTAATACATAATTCAATTCATGAATAAATCGATTTAAAATTTGATATGTATAAAAATAATTATTTAATATGTCAATATCAACGTTTTCAAATAATTTTAGATCATTATTATATTTTTAAATTATTATTTTTTATTAAGTGAAGATGCTACATTCTAAAATGAATATCAAAATTTAAATGATATAAAACAATATCAGTATTTTTAACTACTCAGTTAATTAATAAATCTTATTTATGAAAAATAAAATCTAAATAAATCTAGTTTTCTTACGTTGGTATATCGCTCATCTTTTTTTTATCTTTATTGATTAACAGTGACACCAACTTTAATGTTAGTTGTTGATATTTTTCATTGGTCTTTTCTTTTCTTGCATCACATCACATCTATATTTTCTTTTCTTTTGTAATTTTTAACAAATATTCTTTTATGACACGTTTTTACTTGTCTTTACGGTATATTTTTATTTGCCTTTACGGTGCATTTTCTTCTACTTTTATGGTACGTTTTCTTTTGTCTTTTGGTATGTTTTTTGATCGTGTAACTGTTTTTCATTTATCTTTTTCTATGGGTTGATTTAATATTGCCACGACTAATCAAGATGACACTTATATGATATGTTGTTGATTTTCCTTGCTTTGGACTCTCAGATTAGATTTGGATACTCGATTTGCGTTCGTGGATAGTATTTAACGTTGTTCGAGTTTAATTTGCGATTTGCCGATGGTATTTCAATATCTTGATCCTTCTTTGTGGTTTGTTTACCGATGTGATCATATATGTTTCTATATATCTTTGTTCGCGTTTCTTGGTTAGATTTTTAATCTTTTCTTATATGGTCCTGATGTGATCTTAAGATATTAGTTTTGTTTCAATGATTATAGAAAATTATCCTAATTATGTGTTTAATTTACGATTATGATTACAAATCGTCATTATAATTCAGGATATTTCTTATTTAAAATAAAATTAGTTATTTCTATATAAAAAAATTAATAAATCTCACTCTAAATTAATAATCACCCCCACTAAAGTATCGAATGATAATCTTATATTTATATGTAAATATATATTAATTTAAGACACACTAAAAACAGATGGAATAGAATAGTTCAAGTTGAAAGGGACATGTTTCCATCAAAAACATGTGATCGTAGATTAAAGACTAATTCTTTTTTTAATTTGGTTAATTGGAGTAACTTTATTGGCATATATATTTTTTTAAATCGATTTGATGCTTTCTTTCTTTCGAGATATTGAAATGACTATCCAGCTTAGTTGGTAGAGCACAAGGTTCTTAACTTTGAAGTCGTGGGATCGAGTCCCACGGAGGGCATTTCATAATTCGGAGGTCTTTTACGAAAGCTGCTTTCAACCTGGTGTTGGGGGTAGCCTACTATCTTACCTCCTCCTTACCCCATATATATGAAAAAAAGGGATAACCATTTTTTCTTTCGAGATATTCTTTTTAAATCGAATTGATTGTAGATTAGTGCGAAATTTTAGTGTTGTCGCCTTCATACTTGATTGTGGTATTGCACAATTGATTTTATTTCAATTAAAAAATCAAATGTGGATTAACTACAAGTCAATAGTGAAGGTTTGTAATCGAGGCTTTGTATGCTTACACTCTATATTAAGGATGAGCATGATATCCGAATTCGACGGTTTCGATCCGATTTGATTTGGTCGGGTTTTAAAAAAATCGGATTCGGGTTTTTTTAATGTAATGTTTGGGTCGGGTCAGGTTCGGGTTTAGGGTGAAAAATATCCGACCGAGACGACCCGAAAAAATATATAATTTTACCTTATATATTTAGGAACAATTACAATAATACTCCTCTATATATTATTTTTTCAATTAGTTCACTATTTTTATTGAATAAAAATAATATTTTTATTATTTTGGGTCAGGTCATGTCGGGTCGGGTTTTTAAGTTATATATTGGGTCGGGGTCGGGTCGAGTGAAATCTTGTTTTGGTCAAGTCGGGTCGGATCTCGGGTGGAGGATTCCTTGTTCTCGGGTCGGGTCGGGTGGACCAAAAATCTGACCCAACTCGACCCATGCCCACCCCTACTCGATAGGGGTGAGTGTTCGATCGAGTCTAGTCAAAAAATTTCGAGTTATTTGAATTGACGAGTTATATTTTATAACTTGGATTTGATTTGAAATTTTTTCGAGTCGAGTCGAGTCAAATTTTCAAGTTTCTATTTAAAATTTAATTATAAATATTTTATAATATTATGAAATTATTTAATTCTAATTTAAATGATATTTTATAATCATATACAATAGATATATACATTTTTTGTATTTCTTCATATGTGGTTTCATATACTATATAAAGTCGAGCGACTCAACTCAAGCTTCGACTTAAACTTGAAAATTAATCTACTAATTACTAGAAATTTTGAGTTATTCGAGTTGTATTTTATAACTCGATTTGAATTTTAAATTTTTTCGAGTCGATTCGAGTTTATGAAATTACAATTCGAACTCAAATCGAATCAAATTTTTTCAAATCGAGTCGAGTAAAAAAATCAAATTTTCAAGTCGAGTCGAGTTTTGCTCACCCCTAACTCTAGAGGCTATTTCGATAATAACCGTGAAAAGATTTCCATAATAAAGCGATCGAATTAAAATCTGATTATTATGTTATAATAATTAAGAAAAATAAAGGCTGAGATCCCATTTTTTATTATTTTGTCAATTATTTTTCAATATGTTAATTTTTGACATACGTATCTGCTGATGAGATTTTGGTATATTTTAGTCGGAAGTTGTGTCCGGTGAGATTTTCAAATTAGTTAATAAAACAATGGGTAAATTACATATTTAG